GCGTTTATGAAAACAGTTCTTGGGGATTGTTTTGTTTTAGGGGAGCTCAAGCTGTCCCCTGACCTTTGGAGGCAATTTTCTACTTCTCCCAGCCCTTTCCAAAGGGCACGCAGCTGCCCCTGGACATAGAGGGGGAAAGTGGAGGCTGGCCGCTGCCTTCTTACCAGGGATAGTCACTGTCTGGAACATGAGCTCCTGCAGACATGCCTCATCAATGCCCATCTGGAAGACTGGTCTTCGAACCATAAGCACCTCCCTTTCATCCTGGAACCGTTCTTGGACCACAGCGAAGGTCCCAAGTCCAGGGAGTAGGACACCCTGCCCAGGAAAAAAGACAAAGGCTGACGAGTGAGTACTTCAGAGATAGGAAAAGTGAGAGCTTTGCAAAAGGCCCATAGTCTTCATTTGTTTTCTCCCCCTCCTCAAAACATTTGCTAATGTCTCTTGGCAAGAGAAGATCCCAGGCATTTCCAGGGAATACCCCTGGGATTGATTCTCAGGGATTATCCTTGGCCTTAGCCCATCATAAGCCCCTCTCTCTCTGTCTGGTCTCTCCACTCTAACCATAGCAAAGGGTAAAGCCCCATCGTCTGCTGAATGCTTTTTCAGACAAGATCTGGACTTGGTTTCTCTCCTGCTTGACCAAACAGCAGCTCTCAGCAGATGGGGTTGTCTTGGTGTGCTGCCACGATGCTCAGGGAGGGATCACTCCCCGAGCCCAGGCTCTCCAGGGCAAAGGGGTGCAAGACGCCAGCCCACCTTGTCCAGCTTCAGCTGTCCCAGGATGTACGCAGACACAGCCTCCCAGATAGCCACAATCTCTGGAAAGCAAGGGAAAGAGGTGTCAGGCTCAGGGCCAGCCAGCTCACAGCCTCTCACAAGCTCCTCACCCAGGGGCCTGACACAGGCATCCACAAACAGCCCAGACAAACACCACCATCACGGCTGCAGAGCTGGGCTGTGCCCCAATCTCAGACTGCCAGCCTTACTCTGTCCCTGGGGCAGGGATGGAGCAGAAATGGGGACGTGGGAAGAGCTCAGGACCAGGGCTGTGGCCATCAAAC